ACTCCCTATTTACGTAGCTAAGTAATAACGTATCTTCTTAAATCCTTAAAACCCACTTTTTTAAGTGCCCTTAAAACCCACTTTTTCCAGCAAGCCGGGCTGGCTTAAGAAGAAATTTTAAATGTTTTAATTGGCTTGTATTTTTAATTCTGGGCCAAATTTATATATATTTTAATTGTTTTTTAATATTTGTATTTCGTGTTTTTTAATTCTGGCTGTACACCGCCCTGAGTCCTCAGGGAGAAGGGCGGTATATAAATTTAAAAATAAATAAATAAAATAAATAAATAATAAATCCAAATATTCATTCATATACTATTTGAAACTTTTTAGTCCCATATTTGTTTTGAATATAATCAATCCATCTTCTCCAGTCCACAATATATCTCAGGTTGCTTCTCTCCTTGATGAGTTTCCACCCATTGCTTCTTGTCCTGCCTTCAGGGGCTTTGGATAATAGCCTGACCCCCTCTTCTTTATGATGGTTTCCATGACCTGGGATCAGGTGATGCACTTTGGGGACCTTCTGACAAGCAAAGTTAATAGAGAAGCCGGATTCACTTAACAACGGTGTCGCTAACTGAACCCCTGCAATTGATTCCCTTAACAATTGCGGCAAGAAAGAAGGTAAAAATGGAGCAAAACTCACTTCAACAATTTAGCCACAGAGATTTTGGGCTCAATTGTGGTCGTAAGTCGAGGATGATACTTCAATAACAAATAGTTTATCAAGGCACCAATAAAATTTGGTAACCATTCCTGTGTCAGGGTTCCAAGCAAGAGACCCAACACAATCAACCCTCTGAGGCCCAGGGCTTCCTCACAGCACAGATTTATTAGGCATGGCATATTGGCACATCAGGTGGAAACCCGACTCTGAAGGTCCCACAGTTTCCCCCCCCCCAAATTAAAAGTCAAAATTCTTCACCCTCCCCCCCCAGGTTACATGTCCGTCACATGGTCCGATCCGGTCACAACCCCAATCCCAGTTGGTTTCAATCCATGCCTGCCCAGCACCTGGTGGGAACGTCCTTGATTCCCAGGAGAAAGAATGTTATTTTGGCTACAAGTCCCCAGCTATCTCTATTCCCCTCTCCCGTTCCCACAGCTCCATCCAGCCTCGCTGTGGCAGCCCCGAAGATGCTCCAAAATGGCTTCAGGGCTGACATCTTGTTTCTTTGATGCTTTAGCTCTGGCTGTCGTAGAAGAGGTTCAAACTCCCACCACAGCAGAGAGGTTGGCAGAGAAGCAAAACTGCAGCCCCTCTGGATTGGTGACCCTGGTGGGAGGCTCAGCTGTTGGGGTCCGAATGGGGGCCTGGATCCCCCTTGATCTGGCTTCCAGGGAGACGCCCCCCTCCCTGGCTCACAGGGGGGTGGGCTCGGGTTCCTGTAGGAAGCAGCGCCAAGTCCTGGGCGACAGCAGCATCTCCGCCGACAGGATTGGTGAACCAGGCAGGAAACGGTTCAGCGGTTGGAAATGTTTAATCTTCCATTTGACCTTATCAAAAGTTTATTTGCACTGGGATTTGGAATTAAGTTTTCTTAAATCATCTGCCGCTGATTTTACACTGTCTTAATTTCTCCGCAGTCAACGGAGCTTATGGTTGCTTTCTGCACGCCCAGGAAGAAGGAACAGAGAATCACGGGACTGGAAGGGACCTCCGAGGTCTTCTAGTCCAGCCCCCAGCTCAAGGCAGGAGACTTTATATTATCCCAGTCAAATGGCTGTCCAGGAAGGGGACCTTCTCCCTTCCTCTTGGGGTGAAGGGACTGCCTCTCTGCATTTTTGGGGGTCTGGAAGTCGTGAATTGGACCCCAACCAGTCTCTCCTTCTCCCAGCTGGAAGAACTGGATGTCAGAATGGCCCTTCGGAGACGGCCCAGTCCTGCCTCCCCTTTCTTAGCTTCGGTGCCCACAGATCCAAGATGCCTCTGCAGTGCCGGACCCCACAAACTGACCCACCCAGAAGTTAAATCAGTGACAGCAGGATGAGACCAGGTCCCCCCTCTGCCCCAGGGCTCCCTGGGGGCCACTCGCCATGCCCAGAGCAGCCTACCTCCCAGGGGGTTGAGGGACAAAAGGGAGGAGGGAGAGCGAGGGACGCCAAAAAAGGGGAAAAGGCAGGTTGTACAGGAGGTGGACCCCACATGGCTCCCTCCATTGCTTCTGGAGAGGGGAATAAGGGAGTTCACAGGCAGAGGGGGTGCCTTGTCCAGGGTGAATTGAAGATGCTTAACTGCTCTTAACATGAGGACTAGAATCTTGAGGGAAAGCCCAGGTATGTTGTCAGTGGGTGGAACCAATATCATCTCCCCCTCCCTCCCATTTCCAGCCCCCCAAACTTGGCCGGCAGGGGAGCTGAGCTGCACTAGGGTGGGCCATGGACCCCCCTTGGCAGCAGCCTGACCATGGGGGAGGGGGCTTCTGCCAAGGACATGGGAACCCCGTTCAGAGAGTGACAGATACAGATTAACAGAGTTGGAAGGGGCCTTGTAGGTCATCTAGTCCAACCCTCCGCCCAAGCAGGAGACCCTACACCAGGGGTGTCAAACTTGTGGCCCGTGGTTTGGATGCATCACGTGCTGGTCCTGCCCCCGCCCATTTAGCGAAGGGGGGAAAAGTCGTGATGCCGCTGTGACAATGCAAGTTTGACACTCCTGCCCTACCCCATTGCTGACAGACGGAAGTCCAGTCTCTTCTTGGAAGCCTCCAGGGATGAAGCTCCCACAACTTCCGAAGGCAACTTCTGTTCCATGGGTTGATTGTTCTCACTGTCAGAAAATTCCCCCTTATTTCCAGGTTGAATCTCTCCTTGTTCAGTTTCCATCCATTGTTCCTTGTCCGGCCTTCGGGTGCCTTTGGGAAATAGCTTGACCCCCTTCCTCCTCTCTGTGGCAGCCCCTCAAATATTGGAAGATGCTCTCCTGTCTCCCCTGGTCCTTCTCTTCACTAGACCAGCCATGCCCAGTTCCTGCAAGCGTTCATCCTATGTTTTAGCCTCCAGTCCCCTCATCATCTTTCTTGCTCTTCTCTGCACTCTTTCTAGAGTCTCAACGTCTCTTTTATAGTGTGGGGACCAAAACTGGATGCAGTATATAGGTGTGATCTTCCTAAGGCTTTATAGAGTTGTCTTCTTTTCAGGGGGGGGCACAAGGACCCCCCAGGGCCCCTCCCAGCCAGAGGCAGCGTAGGAACTGAGTCCTGCACAGCCACATGGCTGATTCTGAGTAGCTCGCCCTGATTTACGATCCTTCTGTTATTAGCATGATTTCTATCCTGACTTTCCCATTAATCCTCTGGGGGGTGGGGGGATGTAAACAATTGTAAATTAAAATACAATAAACGCTATTTTAAAAGGGCATTTCTTACCATGCGGTTGGCGTAATGACTGGGGGAGGGAGAGGGAAGAGGTCCAGCACCCCTCTCCTTATTCCGATCCCTTCCTCTGCATCTGAGCCCAGGGGTTTACAGATTAACAGAGGTGGAAGGGACCTTGTAGGTCATCTAGTCCAACCCCCCGCCCAAGCAGGAGACCCTACACCATTTCTGACGAGGCGAGTGTGGTTTTGCTGCTTCCAAGGCATCTGGGCTACCACCCACTTGCCCTTGCCTACCTGGTGCCCTCCACAAATACAGCGTGTGCTTAATTCAAGGCAGATGGGGGCACCGGGTTGGGGGAGTGCTGGACAACAAGCTATCTGCATGCAGCTGCAATCTTTATAAATATAACCTGGTTGTCCAGCCTCTGAATTTTGATCTCGGGACCATGAAGATGCTGCAATGGTCCTAAGTGTGAAAAACGCTCATAATTCACTTTTTCCAGGGTTGTTGCAACTTCAAATGTCACTAGATGAAATATTGTAAGTTGATAACTACCTGTAACTGACTGTGGGATGCAGGGAAGGCTGCTGACAGGTGGGTGTCCCGTGGCACAGAAGACGGTTGTGCCACCCCTGCTGGCATCTGCAGAAAGGTGGGCTGCCTTTTGGGGCTGTTTTGGAGGCAGAAGTGAGACCCTCTGGGTCTTGAAGTTGCTTTATACACCAATCAATCCATCCATCAATCCATCAATCAATCATAGAATTCTTTATTCTTTATTGGCCAAGTGTGATTGGACACACAAGGAATTTGTCTTGATGCATACGCTCTCAGTGTACATAAGAGAAAAGATACATTCGTCAAGAATCATAAGGTACAACACTTAATGATCAATCAATCAATCAATCAGAATAGAGCTGGAAGGGACCTCCGAGGTCTTCTAGTCCAACCCCCTGCTCAAGCGGGAGACCCTATCCCATTTCAGACAAGTGGCTGTCTAGTCTCTTTTTAGAAACTTCCAGTGATGGAGTATTCACAACTTCCGGAGGCAAGTTGTTCCACTGGTTAATTAATACAATAACAGAGTTGGAAGGGACCTCCGAGGTCTTCTAGTCCAACCCCCTGCTCAAGCGGGAGACCCTAATCCAGGGCTGTCAAACTGGATTCCTTTGAGGGCTGGATCAGCATGGTAGTTCTCCTCCTTGGGCCGAACTGGTGGTGGTGGGGAGGAAATGGGATGGACGCCTCCTGCAGCACCCTGCTGGGCAAAACGGGGCACGGAGAGGCCTCGTGCGCCCCCGCATCCCATTTTGGCTGCCAGAGACACCACGGGCCGGTCCTTTGCTATTTCCAGGCTGGCCCTCTGCGGGCTCTGTGTCTGTGTGTCTCCCCTCATCTGGCACATCTCTGCTTTGGAGGGCTCCTTTCCGAAATGTGCCCCCTCCCTTAGCCATGGGACGCTGCAGGTGGGATGCGTCCGTCCTCACCATGACGGGAGAGATGCCAGCCAGGCCCTGCCAGTCGGGCGCATTCCCTGCGGGGGGGGGGGGGGGGGCCCGCCCCCGTCCCGGGGGGGGGGGGGGGGGGACCCGCGCGCCGGCGCCGGGGGGGGGGGCGGGGGGGGGGGGGGGGGGGGGGAGCAAGCCCTGTGCCTTGGCAGGTGCGCCGGGGAACAAAGCCTCAATCAGATGCCTTGATTGGGGTCGCAGGTGGCCCCCTGCCTCGCCCGTCTCCCTGTTCTGGCTGAGGGGATTTAATCAGCAGCTTCTTTGTGCCGATGCCAATGGCGGCTGCTGCCCCTTCCGGATTCTCGGGAGAAAAGGCTGCAGGGTTGATTTTCCAAAGGAAAAATTTGAGGGGCTGGGAAGCCGGCTGGATTATTTTAGCATCTCAAAATATATTTTATGCCTTATACGGGTCGTCCTCGACTTACAACCACAATCGAGCCCAACATTTCTGTGGATAAATGAGATAGTTGTTAAGCAGATTTTGCCCCATTTTATGACTTCTCGTGCCACTGTGGTTCTTAAGTTAGAACAGGTTGTCCTCGACTTACAACAGTTTGTTTAGCGACCCTTCAAAGTTACAACGGGACTGAAAAAAGTTACTTTTTTTTCACAGTTATGACCGTTGTAGCATCTCCAGGGTCAGGTGATCAAAATTTGGATGCTTGGCAACTGGCATGTACTTATGACGGTTGCAGTGTCCCAGGGTCATGTGATCCCCAGCAAAGTCAATGGGGAAGCCAGATTCACTTAACAACCGTGTGACTCACTTAAGAACTGCAGTGATTCACTTAATAACTATGGCAAGAAATGTTGCAAAATGGGGCAAAACTCCCTTAACCCATGTCTCACTTAATAACAGAAATTTTGGATTCAATTGTGGTCGTACATCGAGGACTACCTGTAATCCGGTTGTTAAGTGAATCTGGATGCCCCCCTTGACTTTGCTCGTCAGAAGGTCGCCAAAGGGGATTGTTGTGACCGTCGTAAGTATGAACCAGTGGGCCAGCGTCTGAATTTCGATCACGTAACCATGGGGAAACGCTGCAACGGTCATAAGTGTGAAAAACATGGCTGGCTGGGAATTCTGGGAGTTGAAGTCCACAGGTCTTAAAGCAGACATGTTTGGCGACCCCTGTTCTAAACCATCCAAGAAGAGCAGAACGAGAAGAAGAAAGATAGACTTCATTGGTCTCCGATGTTCTCTTTCTAAAAAATAATAATAATAATAATAAAAAAGTCCTGATGGAAACTTCTTACAGTTGCTGGCTAGTTTTAAACCTGAAATATCAAATATCCATGTTTGCCAAGCCAGTCCCCCACCCCCACGTCTTCAGGGAGGCCCCGTCCCTTGATGGAGGTAGGCGAAGGGCGGGGGCGCCTCGTGGAGGGAAATTTGTCTTGGGGAGCAAATCTCTCCTTTGCAGACGGCGGCCTTGGGGAGGGGGGGCAAGCCAGTGATCTTCTCCTCCCACCCCTCCCGTGAAATGCAAATCCTCTGGCTGGCTGATGGATGCCAGCAGGGAGGCTCCCTTTGCGGGGAGCATCTCAAAGGGGCTAATTCAAAGGCTATTAATATTTATGCCTTGGCCGGGAGGCCGATAGCCTCTATCAGGCACCATTAAGCCTTATCGCCTTGGCCAGGCAGGAATTGGGGGGGGGGGGGGGGAGAAGAACCCGTTTTATTGGGGGGGGGGGGGGGGGGGGGAGGCGGAGAAGACCCGCCAGTTGACAGCCCGAGGGGGCCCCCCCGCAGGTCCTGGGGGGGGGTGGGGGTGGGGGTGTGATAAGGCAGGCGGACCCCCCCTCCCCCCCTCAAAGTCTCAGGATTGCAGAGCCCGGCTGGCTGGCTGGCTCCTCATGAATAATATGCATTTCTTCCCAAGGCAAAGCACAAGAAAGGAGGGATATTAAAAGCGACATGCCTGCTCCGAGGCGGCAGCGATAATTAAACATTTACCAATAAAACCCTCGGTATTAAAATTTCCAACGAAAAGGTAAACAAACGGTTCCCAGCTAAAGGCTAAACTAGGAAAAACACACACAAAAAAAGAGGTTTTTGTAGCTCTGGCTGCGGGGGCACTTTTGGAACTGGACCCGGCTGTTCGTACTCCTCTGCTAAGAACTATAATATCCTAGGCGCACTTATACACTCTTGGGTTTATTAAAATCTTTTCACCAGCGGATGGGAACCGAATGAGCCGTGCAGGTTTCTCCACCTCGGCGACTTTAAGTGACGTGACTTCAACTCCCAGACTTCCCCAGCCAGTATGGGCCAATCACCAGGAGACCGTGAGTTCTAGTCCCACCTTAGGCACGAAAGCCGGCTGGGTGACTGGGCCAGTCCCTCTCTCTCAGCCCATCCCACCTCAAAGGGTTGTTGTTATGGGAAAAATCGGAGGAAGAAGGAGCATTGGGAATATTCACTGTCCTGAGTTACTTATAAAAGTAATAGGGCTGTGGAAAACTATCTAATTGAAAAAGGGCTCCAAAGGGGCCGTGATGGAGAAGGCCAGGCTGAGCCCGAGGGAGGGAGGGAAGAGTCAAATGCGTCACCAGTTACGAGTCCCTCGGTTCCCACCAGAGATCTAAGTCCAGCCCACCTTCAATTCCTTATTTACTGCCAAACTGCTTCAACTGTTAGCACAGGGAGTCCTCAGCTTACAACAGTTCATTTAGTGACCGCTCAAAGTTACGAGGGCCCTGGAAAAAGTGACTTGTGACCGTTTTTCGCAGTTAAGACCTTCGCAGCCTCCCCAGGATCATGTGATCAAAATTCAGACGCTTGGCCACTGATTCATATTTATGACCGTTGCTGTGCCCCGGGGTCGTGCAACCCCCTTTGGTGACCTTCTGACAAGCAAAGTCAGTGGGGAAGCCAGACGCATTTAACAACCGGGTTAACTCACTTATCAACTGCAGTGCTTCACTTAACAACCGAGGCAAGAAAACGGGTAAAACGGGGGCAAAACTCACTTCGCAAATGTCTCGCTTAACAGCAGAAGTATTGGGCACAATGGTGGCCGTAAATCGAGGACTGCCTGTAGTTCAGATTCTCGTAGGGAGCTTAAGCGTTTAATAAATGAATGGGAGGGGGGTTGGACTAGATGACCTACAAGGTCCCTTCTGTATAACTCTGTTATACTGTTAATTTTCTTACCTCTTTGAGCTGCCTGGATCTCTTGACCTCCCTGGTGCCTGAGAGGCTGATCTTTGCAGCTCTATTCTGATTGGTTTCCAGGAGATTCTGGCCTCTGGAAACAAACATTCCTCCCTGGAATCTTCCTTAGCAGAAAGATTGCAAAGAGCAAATCTGCCACCTCCTGTCGAACTCGAGCCACAGCAGGCTGAACCAAAGATTTCTGCAAATAGCCTTTTCACCGAGTGGGCTGCTCTGTCCCCAGCCCCAGCCCTTGCAGGGGCCAGCCTCCACTCCCCCTTGGGTTCCCCGCTCTTCAGGTGCAACAGCTGCCCAGTCCATGCCCATTGTGCCCTCCTGGGCCAGATTGGAATAATGGAATAACGGAATAACAACAGAATAGCAATAGCCCTTAGACTTAAGTACCACTTCACAGTGGTTTACAGCTCTCTCTAAGCGGTTTACAGAGTCAGCCTCTTTGCCCCCAACAACTGGGGCCCTCGTGCTGTTTGTGCTGAGGCTTTTCTGTGTCCAGGGTAGGCTCTGAATGGGACGACACCTTGAAAAAGCAGGTGCAGGAATCCTGGGTCTCTCAGTAACCACTTGGACCAGAGGTGGGCTTCAAAAATTTTAGAAAGGGGTTCTCTGACTGGTTGCTGGTTGGACGTGGCCATGGTGGGCGTGGCCTAGTCAGCCTCCTGCACCATGGTGGCAGATGGGGGAAGGTGTTTTTGCCCTCCCCGGGTTCCGGAGGCTTTTCTGGAGCCTCCGGGAGGGTGAAAATGGCCTCCCCAGGCTCCGGAAGCCCTTTGGAGGCTGGAAACAGGCCTGTTTCTGGCCTTCCTGGACTTCTGGTAGGGCCATTTTTCACCCTCCCCGAGCTTCTGTGCGTGCCCTGCACTGACCTGCATTTAAAAAGAAATGCTTTTAAAAGCCTCTGATGATCCCAGCTGAGCTGCCTGATCGTCAGAGGCTTTTTTTTCTTTTAAAAGCATTTTTTTTACAACCTCTTCAGCTGAGAGGTTAAAAAAATGCTTTTCAAAGTAAAAAAAAAAAGGCCTCTGATGATCGTGTGGCTCAGCTGGGCATGGGTGGGCGGGGGGAGGCAGGGATTTTTGCTACTGGTTCTCCGAACCACCCACCACCATCGCTACCGGATCGGACGATCCGGTCCGAACCGGGAGCATTTCACCCCTGGTGCAGGGGATGGATCTTGGACTTTCTTTTGGGTGGGGAAAACCCGGAACACTCAGATTTGGGTTTCCCCAGATGTGCCAATCTGACATCTCTCATAAAATGGATCTTTGAGGAATTGCTGGCCTTGGAGTCTTCTTTCGTTGGGTTACTTCCAACCCTGGCACCTCTCCTTCTTCTTCTTTGTGATAGCGGCATTTGGCAACAGGTCCCAGGATGCCCCCTCAATCTGGCATCCTCCAGGTGAGTTCCTAGGACATGCTGCCTCTGCGCATCTGGAACGGAACAGGCTGGGGGAGGGGCGCTGAGGGTGACATATGTTGGTGTTCTGTGGTTCACTGCACAGGGGGAGCCCAGCAGTGGTGGGATTCAAGTAATTTAAGAACCGGTTCTCTGCCCTAATGATTTCTTCCAACAACCAGTTCACCAAACTGCTCAGAAAGTTAACAACCGGTTCTCCCGGAGTGGTGCGAACCGTCTGAATCCCACCACTGGAGCCCAGACATTGTTTTAGCTTATAGAGGAGAATATTTGAACTCAGGGTTGAATTGAGGGGTCTTTGGTGCTCTCTGAGCTTGGTGGTTTTCTTGCAGACATTTCATGACCAAACTAGGTAATGTCATCAGTGCTAGAAGGGACGGGGGTTGGGGAAGAGGAGGACGAAGGAGGAGGAGGAGGACTGTGGGGTCCTTGGTGCTCTCTGAGCTTGGTGCTTTTCTTGCAGACGTTTCATGACCCAAAGTAGCACTTCTAGCACTGATGAAGTTACCCAGTTGGGCAACGAAATGTCTGCAAGAAAACCACCAAGCTCAGAGAGCACCAAGGACCCCTCATTGGTTCAGCGTCTGGATACTCCAGCGGTGAGTTTTCTGCATAGTTTGGAGGAAATTTGAAGGATAGAATCCTTGGACTGGAAGGAAACATGGAGGTCCTCTAGTCTGACCCCTGCTCTTTTTTTACATCTTCTTCCACCTGCTTGCTTTTCTCTCTGTGGCTGAGGTTTGGTTTCCTTTCTGTTCGCCCAGCCTCCCTTTGAATATTCGTGCCTTCTGGAGGCCCACCCAGCCCAGATGGCCCTGAAAAGGGGCGGCTCTCCCCGTCTGCCCTGGGCTGAACCCCCCAGCCCCAGGCTGGCCTTGGGGGGGGCAGAGAGAGCCACCTCTGGAGCCCCCCTCCTCCCCCAGGGGTGCTTCTGCCCTGCCCTGCTGCTGCCTAGAGGAACCTCTACAGGGACGGAGAAAGAAGGGGAGCTTCCGTGCAGGCAGGTTCCTGCAAGGCACAGATAGTCCTCGACTTACGACCACAATTGCGAGCAAAATTTCCATGGCTAAGCGAGGCAATGAGTTTTGCCCCACTCTATGACCTTTCTTGCCAATGTTGTTAACTGAATCACTGCAATGGTTAGTCACACGGCTGTTAAGCGAATCCCGGCTTCCCATGGACCCTGCTTCTTAGGTCGTCACAAAAGGGGATCACCTGATCCCAGAGACACGGCGACCGTCATAAATCTCAGTCTGTGGCCAAGCATCTGGATTTTGATCACGTGATCCTGGGGAGGCTGCAACGGTCATAAGTGTGAAAACGGTCCTAAATCACTTTTTCCAGTGCCGTTGTAACTCTGAACAGTCATTGAAATCGTGGGTGTCCATCACTGGAGGTTTTAAGAAGAGACTAGACAGTCACTGGTCTGAAACGGTCTAGGTTCTCCTGCTTGATCAGAGGGCTGGACTAGAAGACCTCCAAGGTCCCTTCCAGCTCTGTCCCATTCTGTCCTATTCTATTCTCTCCTGTCCTGTCCTACTTCTATGCTATGCTATTCTATTCTATTCTATTCTATTCCATTCCATTCCATTCCATTCCATTCCATTCTATTCTATCCTATTCTATTCATGTCTATCCTACATTCTATTCTATTCTATTCTATTCTATTCTATTCCATTCTATTCTTCTCCAATTCTATTCTATTCTATTCTATTCTATTCTATTCTTATTCTTATTCCATTCCATTCCATTCCATTCCATTCCATTCCATTCCATTCTATCCTATTCTGTTCTGTCCTGTCCTACATTCTATGGCTATGCTATGTATGCTATTCATTCTATACTCTACTTACTCTACTCTACTCTACTCTACTCTACTCTATACTCTACTCTACTCTACTCTACTCTTATTCTATTCCATTCCATTCTATACAAACTATTGTAAGCCAAGGGCTACTTGTACACTCTTATTAATTTCCTAAGGAATCTACATTTTATTTCAGATATGCAGACCGTCTGTTAATATCTTTGTTCCCTGGGCTAACCGAGGGTCTTCCATGGGGGGGTGGGGGTTGTGCGTGGATGGACACATGATGATGGCCACAATGACTCATGCGCTGCAGCAGCTCTGCCCCCCACAGAAAAGGGGCCTCTGCACAAGGGATGGAAGCTTTCAACTCACAGACCAGCCTGTGGGGTGTAATGAGAAAATATTGCCTTTATTTTGGGGAGGGGGGGCGATGCCAGCTGTTTCCCAAGGGGGCCCAGCACTGCTGGCTGTATGTCCATCCTCCTGGTCTGAAGAAGTCCCATCCTGCAGCCGAAGGGAGCAGCCGGTCCAGGGTCTCATTCTTAGATGGGGCCTGCGGAGGAAAGGCAAGAGAGGCACTGGGGGGAATGGGGAAGAAACTGAGGTTGGGCACCCCCCATTCATAGGAGGATACAGATACAGATTAGCAGAGTTGGAAGGGACCAGGGGTGAAATGCTCCTGGTTCGGACCGGCTCGTGCGAGTAGGTAGCGATGGTGGCGGGCAGTTCGGAAAAACGGTAGCAAACATCCCTGCCCCCGCCCCCCATGCCCAGCTGAGCGATCATCAGAGCCTTTTTTCCCTTTTAAATGGCTCCGACGATCCAAGCTCTGATGATCTCAGCTGAGTTGCCTGCTAATCGGTAGCAAAAATCCCTCCCCCTCCCCCCCTCAGCTTGCTTACCTTAGCTGCTGGTCCCAACGCCTTGCTGTAATCCCTGCAATCCATTGCATCAGCAAGCAACTGAATCTCCCTGCCTGCAATCAAGCAGGCAGGGAGTTGTGGACTTCAACTCCCAGAATTCCTCAGCCAGCAAAGCAAAGCTGGCTGAGGAATTCTGGGAGTTGAAGTCTACAAGTCTTAAAGTTGCCAAGGTTGGAGACCCCTGTTCTATTGGGTAAGTTTTTTCCCCCTTTGGGAGCTTTAAAAAAATAGTTAATTGGGGTTTTTTTAGTTGTTCTTTTTTTAAACCTAGGTACCTAAAGTTTAGGAAGTTTTAAATTTAGCTGCTTTTATGTAAAAATAAAATAAAATAAAATAATATTTGTGCAGCTTTCTGAGATTTAGTGTGTTTCTGTAGTGTTTCACTCTAAATACACAAGCACACAAAATCTCACAAAGCTGTATGTGGAATTTTGTTTGTGTAAAGTGTGAAAGTTGGTTTTTTGGGCTTTTTGTGGCTGTGTGAGGTTCCTGCTTGTTGCAGGGGCCGTTTTGGGTCTAGCACAGCTACTTTTATATTGTGGGTGAGCCAGTTGTGTTGTGTTGTGTTTTGTAGGTTAAAAAGGGGCGAAGAAGTGACATTGACTTGGCCACGCCCACCTGACCAACAAGCCAATTTTATGGGTAAGGGGTTTTTAATTGGGGAAGCCAAAGATAAATTTAATTTCGTTTTATAGTATTTTAATATTTGTATTGTGTGTTTTTAATTTTGGCTGTTCATCGCCCCGAGTCCTTCAGAAGAGGGGGTGGTATAAAAATTTAATAAATAAATAAATAAATAAATAAAGCCACATCCTCCCAGTCACCTTACCACCAAGCCCCGCCCACTAATTAAGCCATGCCGACAGAACCGGTAGCAAAAAATTTTAGATTTCACCCCTGGAAGGGACCTTGTAGGTCATCTAGTCCAACCCCCCCCACCGCCCAGGCAGGAGACCCTACACCCTTTCTGACAGATGTCTGTCCAGTCTCTTCTTGAAAGCCTCCAGGGATGAAGCCCCCACAACTTCCGAAGGCAACTTCTGTTCCATCAGTTGATTGTTCTGTCAGAAAATTCCTCCTTATTTCTAGGCTGAATCTCTCCTTGATCAGTTTCCATCCATTATTCCTTGTCTGGCCTTTGGGTGCTTTGGAGAATAGCTTGACCCCCTCCTCCTCTCTGTGGGCAGCCCCTCAAATCTTGGAAGATGCCATCCTGTCTCCCCTGGTGCTTCTCTTCACTAGACTAGCCAGGCCCAGTTCCTGCAACCGTTCATGTATTTTTCAGCCTCCAGTCCTCTCATCATCCTGGTTGCTCTTCTCTGCACTTTTTCTAGAGTCTCCACATCTTTTTTATGGTGTGGTGACCAAAACTGGGTGCAGAATTCTAGGTGTGGCCTTCCTAAGGCTTTATAGAATGGTATTAGAACCTCCCTTGATCTGGATTGTATCCCTCTGTTTATGCAATTTAGGATTGCGTTGGCTTTTTTCGGCTGCTGCTGCAAACGGCTGGCTCCTATTTAGCTGGTTGTCCGCTAAGATTCCAGCCTCACCTGGCCTACATGGCTGGCTCCTGCCGCAGGCTCTCTGGCACTCGCTCATGCTCCTGAAGTTGTTGGTGTTGCCCATGCAGCCGTACAAGAAGAGCTGGCAGCGGCCCTGGCTCCGGTTGTAGAAGTACCGGTGGTGCACTGCCGGACAGGGTCCCGGCTTGGCAGGCAGATGGCATTGCGAATAGCGCACTGGACAGGGTGAGACGGAGGTGGTGTTGGGCAGGGGCTCCGGCTGGGCCCAATGGGGCAGAGCAAAGGGGCGAGGGGGCGAGGGGTGGGGGTGGGGGGTACCTGGGTCCAGGCAGGAGAGGCGGCAGCCGTCGAAGCAGCATTTCTTCTTCGGTGGACACTGCCGGTCATCGGCACAGGCGTTGCGGCACGGTTCGACGGTCTGTATCACGGGCATCTTGGGGCAGGCACCTGGGTGCTCTGGCCGGGCAGGAGAGGTGGGTCGGTGGGGGCCCTCTGGGTGTGGGGTTGATGACCCCTGGGATTTCCCCACCCCCACTGCCCAAGCGGGCTTCCCCCTCCCACTTTCAACGGCCAGGTAGATGGAAGCCAGGCGGACACCTTTGCCGCAGTGCCTCTGAGCGTGAACAGAGTGCCCGCTCCCAATGGGACAAGCGGGCCCTCTCCTCCCCACCCACCGGGGGACCCAGTCGAGGTTGTACCTTCCACGGGCGGCACGCAGGTCTCGACGCAGCCGTACCGGCAGCACTTCCTCCCGGGGTAAGCGAGGGTGCAGTCAGCATCCTGTTGGCAGCTGGAGCCGCAGAGGAGCGGGTGGCTGTCCAGGGGGTTCCGCCAGGGGCAGTAGCCACGGATGGCTGCGGGGGGTGGGGGGGGGAGAAAGTGAGGAGGGGGTCCCACCGCCTCGCGTTAAAGCCCGCAGCCCGAGCCTCGTTGGGACAAGTGGGGCCCCTCGCTGCCGTCGCTGCTTCTGCCTTTGGGTCTGCAGGGGCAGGCCATCATTCGCCAGGTGAAGCCCACAGCGGGAGTGAGAGAGAGAGGCCCCTCCACCCCCTGACCTCCAGGACCACCAGCTGGGCATTTGGGGGGGTGGCAGGAAAAGTGCCCGCAGGTGTGGACGTCCGGAGGGGGGCGAGGGCAGCACCCCCGCTTTGCCCACCCAGGAGCTGGGCCTGAGGAAGGGCAGAGGGGCAAAAGGAGGGGGGGTCTGGTCTCCCCCCTTTCCCAGCCCTCCTCCTCCCGTGGGGTGGCTGGCCAGAGAAAGGAGCGCTACCTCCTACAGCCAGGTGACACTGGTGCCCGCAGCCAGTGTCGCAGCAGAGCCGGTCACCCGAGCAGTCGCCGTGCGCAGAGCAGAAATCGCGGCAACTCTTCTTCGGGAAGGCCGAGGGGGGCGGGCAGGAGCTGGGCCTGAGCTGAGCTGGAAGAGGAGGAGAAGGAGAAGGAGGAGAGTGTTATGTAAATAGGTTTGTTTGGCGGGAAGTTCGAATTAACTGACCCTCACCTGATTGGATGACCACTACAGCTGCAAGGTATATAAAGGGAGCTGGCTCCCTGGGTCAGTTGCTGGAATCTCACTATACAATAAAGAGCTGTTGTCACTAACTACTCTGGCTTGCTGTGTTCTCATTCACCCAATTTAACATTGGCGACGAAGGTGGGATTTTGAGGCCAGAAGCAGAGGAGAGCTGAAGCCACACTCGAGAAAAGAGCTGAAGCCACGTTCGGAGAAGGGGACTGGAGACCGCATCCGAATCCAGCTAGGCGAGCGAGTGGAGCACAGGAGAATCCCAAAGCGATGTCTGCCTACACCCCGCCAGCGCCTTTCGACCCCAAGGAACAGAAGTGGGGATCCTACATGTCTCGGTTCGAGTGCTTCATGGTGGCAAATGACATGCAAGGGCTACCGGACGTTCGGAAGAAAGCCCTGTTCCTGAGTCACTGCGGGCCAAGGGTCTTCGACACAGCAGAAGCATTGTCGGAGCCGAATTCGGTCCACAACATTTCCTGGTCGACGCTGCAGACCCTGCTGAAAGACCACTATGCACCAATGCCATCAAAGTACGTCCAGCGCTACGACTTCCGGCAACGGCTCCAGCAGGAGGGCGAATCGATCAGCGAGTACGTCGCTGCCCTGCGTAAGGCCGCAACCCAGTGTGAGTACCGAGACCTGGATGAGATGCTCCTAGAGCAATTAATTTGCGGAGTGAGAGATAGCCGGCTCCAGAGAAGACTGCTCGCGAGGTCTAACCTGACCCTACACATCGCCCTGGATGAGGCACGAGCGCAAGAGTCGTCAGTAAAGGCTGCAGAGAAATTAAAGAGCTCCCACCTAACCAAAACAACGCAGAAGACGGCGCCAGTGCACTGAGAGGCCGTAAGCACCATGAGGGAGGGGGAGTCTGAAGAAGAGGTCTACCGCACCGAGCAGTCCCGCACAGCCCGGAGGAAGCCCAGAGATGGATGCGCCAGCTACGGAGGGTCCCACTCATGACAAAACTGTAAGTTCAGGGATGCCGTTTGCCGTTCCTGTGAGAAGAGGGGCCACATCGCTCGGGTCTGGAGATCCAAGACACACCAGAGCTACAAACCACGTGGCCAACCCTTCCAATCCGAGCCGGCGCCACACCGAAGGCCCAACAGAGATGGCGGAAACCGGAAGGGCGCGAAATTTGAAGACGCTGGGGCCTACACCATATGCATCGCACAGACCTGCACCTCGCCTGGAGAAAAGACTTATACCACAGTCGAGATCGAGGGACGGGAGTGCCAGATGGAGATCGACACGGGATCGCCGATATCCATTATGTCTTGGGAGAACCTAAAGAAAGTCATCCCCAACGCACACAAGCGACAGCTCCAGCCGCAGCAATGCAGACTGAAGGACTACCAGGGGAACCGCATACCTGTCGAAGGAAGAGGCGAGTTCCAAGTACAGTACGGGGAGTTTACTGAGAAACTGCCCCTCACCATCGTCAGCATCAACCTCCCAAGCCTCCTGGGCATGGACTGGTTTAGAGCCCTAGGCATGGGATTCACCGGAACGTTCGAAGCACCCTGAAAGAGGACCTGATGCAAGAGTTCCAGGACGTGTTTGACGAAAGGCTTGGCAAGTATGTGGGCACCCCGATTTCGTTTAACCTCAACCCCAATATTGCACCCATCAGTTTAAAGCCTAGGCAGGTACCGTTCACCCTGAAGCCCAAAATTGACATTGAACTGGACAAATTAATCAAACAAGGGGTGCTCGTTCCAGTTGACCACGCCAAATGGGAGACCCCAATTGTGACACCGGTAAAGCCGGACGGATCAGTGCGCATATGCACTGATTATAAATGCACAATTAATAAGGCCCTGAAGCAGAGTGCCTATCCAGTGCCCATCGTTCACCATTTGTTGCATTCCCTGGGCCCCGGCAAGATCTTCGCAAAACTCGATCTTGCGCAGGCGTACCAGCAACTGCCGGTAGACGGCGCTACCGCAGAGGCACAGACTATCATAACCCACAGAGGGGCCTTCAAGTGCACCCGCTTGCAATTCGGAGTAAGCGTAGCTCCCGGACTTTTCCAAAGTACCATGGAGCGGTTACTACAAGGGATCCCCGGGGTGGTGCCCTATTTTGATGACGTGCTCATTACCGCCGACAATGAGCAGCACCTAAGAGAAAGGCTGAGGGAAGTCCTAAGGAAATTCAGGGACGCAGGACTCAGAGTAAAACGAAACAAATGCATGATCGCAGTCCCCTCAGTCGAATTCCTAGGATACAGGGTAGATGGCACCGGCATACACCCCACAGAGAGCAAGATCAGGGCAATCAAAGAAGCACCTACCCCCAAAGACAAGGCAGAATTACAGGCCTTCCTGGGGTTATTAAACTTTTACGCCATTTTCCTTAAAGACAAGGCAACGGTGGCAGAACCCCTACATAGACTGTTAACAAAGAAAGCAATTTGGAAATGGGGGAAGGCTGAAGAAAGGGCATTCGCCGGCATTAAAAAACTGCTGTCAGCTGAAAGTTTTTTAATACAGTACAATGCAACGCTTCCCCTTGTTTTAGCATGTGACGCATCCCCGTTCGGGGTGGGAGCCGTCCTGAGCCATAGACTCCCGAATGGCCTAGAAGCGCCCATCACATACTACTCCTGAACTCTATCAAGTGCCGAGCGAAATTATAGCCAGCTCGACAAGGAGGCCCTCGCCGCCGTTTCGGGAGTAAAGAAATTCCACGAGTACTTGTTTGGGAGGGACTTTGAACTAATCACCGACCATCGACCACTCCTGGGTCTCCTCGCGGGAGATCGACCAACCCCGGCAGCACTATCGCCCAGGATGACACGCTGGGCCATCTTCCTCGCAGCATACTCCTATTGCCTGGTACATTGACCAGGGGCGGACATGGGCAACGCAGACGCACTCAGCCAATGCCCACTACCCAACAGCCTAGAAGACCCCACACCCGGCATCCCCATCCTGCTGATAGACGTTTTGGACTCTGGGCCCATAACATCAGCCGAGGTTGCGAGAGCCTCAACCAAAGACCACGTGATCCGGACAGTCGCAAGTTGGGTCATGAGGGGGTGGCCGGAAAAGATTGGGAGCGGAGAATTTAAACCGTTTGCGGGAAAACGGGACGAATTGACAATGCAAGGGGGTTGTTTGCTATGGGGCGATCGGGTTGTTATTCCTTTACGTTTACGGGAAAAAGTCTTAACATTGTTGCATGAGGGGCACCCTGGGATTGTAAGAATGAAGGGGCTAGCCAGGAGCTATGTCTGGTGGCCCAGCATGGATACAGACATTACCGAGAGGGTGGGGAGATGCCAGCCCTGCCAAGAGTCCACATCAGATCCACCAACGGCACCCGTGAGGGAGTGGGAAAGGCCCCAGGGACCCTGGTCCAGGATACACATTGACTTTGCAGGCCCATTTCATGGACAGACCTTCATGGTCGTCGTAGACGCATTCTCCAAATGGTTGGAGATCAAGCTAATGAAGGCCACTACCACTGACGCAACAATCAGGGAGCTAAGACAGTTATTCGCCACCCATGGGTTACCGGACATCCTAGTGTCAGATAACGGGCCACAATTCACCGCAACACAGTTCGAGGGTTATTTAGTGGGACTTGTCCTTTTGGCCCCGTTTCATCTGGCTAGTAACGGACAGGCTGAGAGATTTGTGAGGTCAGCAAAGGAGGCCCTTTCACGTTTAAGCCCCGGAGACTGGCAGGAAAGGATAGACAAGTTTCTAATAGCTCAACACTCCACACCCTGTACAGCCACAGGCCGAAGTCCGGCAGAACTATTAATGGGGCGGAAACTCCGAGGAATACTAGATAGGCTCAACCCCAATTACTCCCCAGAGGTCTTCAAGGGGGGGGGGGAAAGGAAGCTTAGAGAGTTCACCATAGGAACACCGGTACACGCTAGAAACTATGGACAGGGCCCACTCTGGGAGGCAGGGACAATCACAGAAATCACGGGGCCCAAATCATACAGGGTAGATATGGGGGACGGGAGAGTTTGGCGCAGACATATTGACCAACTAAGAAAACGAGTAACCGCAGACACCGACGACAAATTAGATGACCCCATCTCTGACCACGACTACCAACCAGAAACACAAACTACAAGCCCGAGTAGAGCGGAGGACTTAGCTGAGGATTCTGGTATCCAGCGCCGCCCCATCGAGGTAGTCCAAACAGCCGGAGAAGTCGCCGCCCACGAGGAGGTCCCGGAGGCCTCATTGGCGGAGCAGGGAGAAACAGAAAGTCCCTCCGACCTGCTCGCCGCCGCCCCTCCGACTGAACTGCGCAGGTCAACTAGGACTCGCACATGCCCTAGTCACCTGAGAGACTTTGTATGTAAATAACACCCCAAGTGACTTCTGGGAGGGGAGGAGTGTTATGTAAATAGGTTTGTTTGGCGGGAAGTTCGAATTAACTGACCCTCACCTGATTGGATGACCACTACAGCTGCAAGGTATATAAAGGGAGCTGGCTCCCTGGGTTAGTTGCTGGATTCTCACTATACAATAAAGAGCTGTTGTCACTAACTACTCTGGCTTGCTGTGTCCTCATTCACCCAACTTAACAGAGAGCGAGGCTGGGCGGGTCTCCCCCCACTCCGGTTGAACCTTGGAGGGGGGGGATGGGGGTCGGCCCGAATCCTTTGGGGGCAGTCCTTGATAAGAGCCCCCCTTGGCACAAGTGACAATCTCCCCCGCCCCTCTCCATCTTCCTCCCCATCCTCTTCCTTCTCCTGCGTCTTCCTCCCCTCCTCCTCTTCCTCCTCCATCTCTTCTTCCTCCGCCTGCCCTCCACCTCCTTCCTTTCCTACCTCCTCCTCCTCCTCTTCCATCCTCCCCCTCCTATTCTTTTTCTTCTCCCCTCCCTCCCTTTTTCCTCCCCGGACCCTCCCACAAAAGTCCTGAGGGGAGGGAGCAGCATTGCAGCCACAGAGGCAAACCAAAGGGGGGGATTTGGAAAGTTTGGGGAGGGGCGGGGTGAATGCTCCCAAATGTCTCCCTCCCTGGGATTAATGAAGGAAATTGGGCAGAATGGCAGTGCAGGGACCCCCCCACCCCCACCCAACATGAGTGCAAAATGTTCTCCCCAATTTTCACCCGCTGGCAAACTGGCACCTGAAACACAGATGGTGATGGAGAGGACCAAGGGGACACTGATACCCCTCAGTGGATGCCCTCCACCCCCGGTTGGAACCAACACAGGTCCTGATGTCATAGCTGCCCACCGAGCCTCTCTGAGAGGAGAAGGTGGCAGGATTGTCCACCCAGCTTCCAGGCATCCAAGGAGACCCGGGCAGGGCATAACCCTTCTCCCTCCCTCCCCCTCTCCCCCTCCCTCTCCCTCCTCCATCTCTCCTCTGAAAGGAGGAGGGTCTTACCTGAGAGGGAACAGGCACGCTTGCAGTCCTCCAGTGTCATGAAGTTATTCGGATTCCCTCCGCAATAGAAGTAGTTCTCACACTTCCTCTGTTCCGGACTGTAAAACCAACGCGTAATCTCGGAAAGACAAGTGCCGGAGACGGGATGAGGGCCGCAAATATTTGAGGTCAAAGAAGGGAGAGGACCCTGGCCTGCAAAAGCCAAGTGACAGAAGGACAGAGTTGGAAGGGACCTCAGAGGTCCTGTAGTCCAACCCCCTGCTCAAGCAGGAGACGCTACACCATTTCAGGCCCGTCCTTTCCCCAAAGGCAACCGGCATCTGCCTCCGGCCACCACTCTCGTGTCACACACTCTCGGTCCTGGTGGGGTGGCTGCCTGTGTCCAACTTTGGTAGAAGATAGAATAGTAGAGTTGGAAAAGACCTTTGAGTTCACACAGGGGACGCTCTATCCTTTCAGTGGCCCTGCCTCTTGGAGAAGAGAAGAGAATGAGCTGGAGGGGACCTTGGAGGTCTTCTAGTCCAGCCCTTTTTGAAAGTCTTCCGTGATGGAGCCCTGAAGGTCAGAAGGTCGCAAAAGGGGGAATCACGTGACCCGGGACACTGCAACCGTCATAAATCTGAACCGGTTGCCAAGCGTCTGAATTTTGATCACGTGACGTGATGACTGCAACGGTCATAAGTGTGAAAAATGATCTTCAGTCCCTTTTTTGTAACTTGGAACGGTCACTAAACGAAGTGTTGTAAGTCGAGGACTAGCTGTGTCAGCAGCCCAGAAAGGGGTGAAGAACCACGAAGCCTAAAAGAAAATTGAAATGTGGCCCACAACGAATGCTCAGAGGGAACGAATGAGTGGGAACGACGGATGAAGCAGAAACACACAAGTCACACCCATTGGGGAGCCAGCCTGCTGCCAACACCATTCGCAAAATGAGTTCCATTAAACTTTTATTAAAGTTTCTGACTTTAAATGAGTCAGAAGCAGGAACGGGGCGAGGGAGGGAGTAGCTGGACCATCGCTCCTCCACAATCGGAGTCATGTGCCCAAGGAAGCAGAGGCGAGGAAGCTGCTGATGTGTGATTTTGTGCCTTCCTTTGGCTGCTTTTGGAGAAGGAGATTGGGGAGCAGAAGGGAGCTTGTAGGAAGTCTGTTGGGGAATGCTCGATTCTGAGAATCCAAGGGACCTTGGAGGTCTTCTAGTCCAACCTCTGCCCAAGGTCCTCGCACTATCCGGGTCATATTTTTGAAAACCTCCACAATGGAGCACCCACAACTCTGGGTGGGAAGCAGTCCCACTGATTAATAATCCGGAAATTTCCCCTTATTTCCAGATTGAATCTCCCTTTAATGAGCTTCCACCCATTTCTTCTTGCCCTGCCCTCAGGGGCTTTGGACAACAGAACAGCGCCGTACAGAATTGGAAGGGACCCGGGAGGTCTTCTAGTCCAACCCCCTGCTCAGGCAAGAAACCCCACCATTCTGGACAAAGGGTTGTCCTGTCCCTTCTGGAAAAACCTCCAGAGTTGGAGCAGCCACAAGCCGTTCAACTGATTAATTGTTTTCACTGTCCGGAAATTCCTCCTTCATTCCGGAGATTGTCTTCCTGCCACTTGAGAACTTCAGGAAGGGACTCCATTTGTATGATTTATTGGGGTTTATTTGTTGCTTTGATCAGAAGAGGTTTGGAGTGGCTTGCAAAAGTCACCCCCCTTCACCAAAAGGATTGAAAAGAGTGCAAATAATAATAATAATGAAATTGCAAGATTAAATAGCCAATTTGCATTCCACCAACTTTGAGCAGTAGAGTCTCGGGGGAGGGGTTGCCTCTTCCTGGTATTCCCCATCGCAGTGGTCAGGGTAAGGACAGGAGGGTTCCTGCAAACACAGGAAGCTCAGGGCTGAAGGTGACACCCTCAAAACCGGGATCCAAGTTGCAGAAGAGGGAAGGAGGACCATCCTTACTCCCTGATGCTCTCTCCTGATTTGGTAAGGAAACATCTGCAAGAAAATGTCTATGGAGATTCTCTGTCATCCAGGTCATGGTTGTCCCAAAGGTGTTTTTTTCCCCCAAAAGGTAACTGGACTTTTTCCCTTGAAGACCTTTTGCTTCTCATCCAAGAAGCTTCTTCAGCTCTTCAGAAGTGAAGAAGCTTCTTGGATGAGAAGCGAAAGTCTTCAAGGAAAAATTGCAAAGTCCATTCCAGCTTTGAAAAAGCACCTTTGGGTCTGCAAGAACCCCCGCATCCTGACTCACCTATAGGAAGCTTGATAGATCCCATTGGCAGGGAGATGGGGAACAGAGCAGAGCCCATGGAGAGGAAGAGCAGGAGGCCGGAAGGTCCCATGGTGTCCCCAAGACCCAATTCTCTCTGTCCCTCAATCACAGCTGGCTTCTTATATCCCAGACCTCACCAGCTTAGAAGGTGGCTTTTCCACGCTCAAGCCCAGCCCAGCCCAGCCCAGCCCAGCCCAAACAATAATGCTGCAAGGGGGGAGGGAGGGAGGGAGGGAGGAGAAGAGGGAGAAGAAAGAGGAGAATCCTTTGGAGAAGAACCAGGACGTGGCTTTGGTGAAAAGGAGAGGTTGACGTTTCCACTCATGGTGGCAAGAAAGAAAGTCTTCCGATTTTGCTTCCAGTCACTGGCAGATGCTCCAGTCAGGAACTGTCTGACAAAGCCTCTAGTGGGATCACTGAGCATCTGACCCGATTGTGGAGGGCAGAGGCTTCTGTGGGTCGAGTAACTTCATACGGTTGATGCTACAGGGAACAAAAGTGTGACTGAATCTGGGTGTCCTTCTTTGGGTACTACGAAGCCCCTCCCGGAAGGAAAGAAGGCAAAGAGGTCATGAAGGGGGGGGGGTGCAGCGTCCCAGACAATCCTGTGGCCCCGGCTCAAGCATCGCTTGCAGTGTCCAGCCCAGAGTTGACCCCAGAAGGAAATGGCCATGCTTGGGGGGGAGGGAGGGGGAGGAGGGATCCAGCTCCAGCTGGCAATGTCTCCTCCTGGATGCACGGAGAGCCTTCGGCTGCTGAAAGGCCCAGAGGTGGGATCTCAATTGCTCTGGGGGTCCAACTCTCACCTTTGGGATCTAGTGTGCAAGAAAACCCGGTGTGTGTCCCACACCCTCTCCAGGCACGATCACTATTTGTTCTGTGAAGTGTCAAAGTGACTGGAAATGCCCTGGGAACAGAAGTGTTGCCATTATGGTTGCCTGACTGAGTGCAGGAATCCTGCCGTAATCCTTATTAGGAATGCCATCTTGGCACAGCTAGTGAAAACCCGACTCTGAAGGACCCGAGGTTTTCCCCACCCAAACTAAAACCCAAAGTTCTTGCCCCCAGGTCACACGTCCATCAATGTTCCCACAGCTGCAACCGGCCTCGCTGTGGCATCCCTGAAGATGTCCAAAATGGTTTCAGGGCTGACAGTCGGCCCCCCTCACTTGAGAAGAACCTCCTGTAAGAGAAAAATCAGAGAGAGGTTAACCTGTGTCACCGTCAACCTACCCTCCACCCCCTAGGTGGCCCCTTGGGCTTATGAGGGTATTTGTCATGAAACTGTTTAATCAACCTGTCAGCTTTTACATCCCAACTCTTGGCCCTAATAGCTTCAGATAGAGGATATCCCCTCCCGGTGGACTACGTCTTGCAAGTGACCCCGATGTACTGTAAATGCCAGTCCAAAATCTTCTTTACCTCATAGTGGGTCTCCCCTTGGACTAGGATAGGCTTCTGGGCGGCCCGGTCTACCGGCCTTACCTGGGAGCCGACTACTGGCTTTAAGAAGCTGCTATGGAACACCGGACGCATTTTCCCTACCAAGCATGGGAGTCTAAGCTGAACAGTAACAGGGTTTCTTACTTTCACTATCAGGAAAGGCCCTATGAACTTAGGACCTAGACAGCATGGCTCTGTGGTGTCTCCTAGGCCGAGACTTGGTCTGGGCACAGGAAAGTCTCTCTGGGGTCTTTCAGGCTCTCCTCGGGTCCATCCAAGGGAGAGCAGGTGTAAGAAAGGAAGGAGCCATAATGCTGAAGCAGAACTTGGTGCTGTGGAAGCCTTCTTCTTGATAGCTGTCCATCCCCACTTCCAGGACTTCCAGAGGAGAGGTCATGACAGACACCATCCTCACTTTTGGTCCAGCTCATCCTCTGGGTAGACCACAGCTGGTCTATGCGCAGGTGACAGGAAGGACAGGACAGGACAGGAGAGAGTCAGAAGGGACTTCTACTCCAACCCCCTGCTCAGGCAGGAGACCCTCTACAATTTCAGACAAGTGACTGTCCAGTCTCTTCTTGATGACCTCCAGTGATGGAGCCCCCACAGTGTCTGCAGACAACCAGTTCCACTGATTAATTGTCCTCACTCTCAGGAAATTTCTCCTCGGTTCCAGGTTGCTTCTCTGCTTGATTAGTTTCCATCCGTTGTTTCTTCCCCTGCCCTCGGGTGCTTTGGAGACTATCTTGACCCCCCTCGGCTTTGTGGGAGCCCCTCAAATACTGGAAGACTCCTATCTTGTCACTCACTAGTCCTTCTTTTCTCTAGACCAGCCAAACCCAATTCCTGCGACCCTTTTGCGTTTCCTATTTTAAAACCTTGTCTTGAACCAAATACAGAAATATCCATAAAAAACCCTTGGCCAACTCTACTCTTCCCCTCGAGATCACCCAGGGCCCCGTTTATGAGCAGATACAGCCCACTAATTTTATTAAGCACACCACGGCAACTGAACACAACAGAATCTGTATAATTGCTGGGACTTAGACATGGCATGCTGTTTGTGTAGTCCACTGTCGTTTTTGCGATTTCGTGTACAAGAACGACTGTCTACGGGACATCCTCAAGGGCAGCCACGTCACGAGGATACTTTTTTTCAGCCTGATGACGTCTAAGCAATGATGCTCAGTCATCCAGGTCATGGTTGTCCCAAAGGAGCTTTTTCAGGAGGCAGCTGGACTTTCTTGTTTTTTCTTTGAATTTGGGATGAAGACCCCTTGAATGGTGTGGGAGCAGGAATGGATTTCCAGAGGAAAAAATTGCAGACTACAGGAACCATTTGCACCACTCAGGTGACCCTGAGGACACAGAGAAACCTCCAAGTGGCCTCAAGGACTCTTTAGAAGGATGCAAATGACGAGCTGTCTGCAAGGAATATAAATCCTTCCATTCCTGTCAGAGCTGAAGAAGCTTCTTCGATGAGAAGTGAAACGTCTTCAAAGAAGAAAGTCCAGTTGCCTCCTGAACAAGCACCTTTGGGTGCTCCATCACCGGAGGGTTTTAAGAAGGGATTGGGCAGCCCTTTGTCTGCAATGGTCTAGGGCAGGAGTGGACATGGGTTTCTGGGGAATTCTGGGAGCTGAAGTCCATGAGCCTTAAAGTTCCAAAGTGGGACACCTCTGATATAAGGTCATCTGCTCAAGCAGGGGGTTGGAGTAGACGAACTCCAAGGTCCCTTCCAACTCTATTATTCTATGCGCTTCCTGCAATTGTACAAATTCCGTTGTGTTCGAGCTCAGTTGCCGTGGTGTGCTCAATAAAATTAGTGGGCTGGATCTGCTCATAAATGGGGCCCTGGGTGATCTTGACGGGAACTCTACAGTTGACCAAACACAAACTAAACTCTTCCGTCTTGCCTGGGAGAAGAGAATTCCACACCAACTCACACCTCATCAATGCCACCCATGGCTCCTGCTCCATTCGGCTCCTGCTCCATTCGGATTATATGGAGGAGGGGGAGGTGGACATGTGGCATAAGATAAAGGGTCCCAACCTTTTTCTTCTTCCTCCTTCCCATACAACACTCTGGAACTCCTAGGAGGAATGGGGTCAAACCACTGAACATGAAACCACAGTTCCACATATGGCAACTGAGACCTCAATTTTCTATTGTCCAAAACCTTCTTCAAAGCATTTATCCAATATGGGTCAGATTCCCCAAACTTACTCCATCTGTAATTAGGCTTTATCAACACAAATGTCGGGCACACCCTAGTACAATAATTAATCATAGTCACTTTATCTAACTGTTTTGTATAAGCCTTTAACCAGTCCTCTGTCCACTGAGTTAACAACTCCCCTAAAGGTGATATTGGAGGGATGGAGGGTATTTCTTTTTTTTTATTTAAAAAGTTTTTTTATTTTATAAACAAACAAACAATACATAATCAATCATTCAATGTATCTTTTGAATACATCTTTTGTGTCTTCTTTTTACTCCTCCAGTATTTATCATATCTTACTATTATCATTTCCTTTATTATGACATTTCCCCCACATTTCTTACTTCTCTATTAATACATTTATCTATCTTTTCTTACTTCTTACTTCTCTATTTCTATTTCTTACTTCTCTATTAATACATTTATCTATCTTTTAATTTTATTAAAAATTATACAACAATTTTATCCCCACACAACCTTCAACCCCCCCTCCCCACGCCCCCCCGACTTCCCAGAGCAAAAACAGGGTATAACATTAAACAAGCATAAACTAAAATATGCTAATTCACTACAAGATTCAAAACTCCCTCACACTCTTTAACTCCCCTTTTAAAAATTATTCATCAACCTCCCCTTTATAAATTCTCTTATCACATTTCACATTTGTTACTAAAATCCTTTCCATACCTTCTTTTTCAGCATTACTCCCTAATAAAATTCTAAATTAAACATTTATCCTCTTTGGTCATTCATAAACCACTTGCCAATTTCTGTTTATTCAACATTACTCCCTTGTAAAATTCTAAATTAAACATTTTAAAACTTTCTTTAAAGCATGTCTTTTTAAAAAAATATATATATTATTTTAGGTTAAACATTTTAAAATCTCTTAATACCTCAATAAGACATTCTTCAAAATATAAGTTTCAAAGCTATCCATTAACTTTAAAGTTAACCATTTTAATACCTCGATAACTTTTAAAAAGCTGTCCATTTTTAGTTAAACATTTTTACTTAAACTTAAAAAATACTAATTTCAGTAAGCTTTTCAGATTTATTACTAAAATCCTCCCCAAAAGAAATTAATCTTCCATTCTTCCTTTCTTTCTATATTTTTTACAGTCCTTCTTCTTCAATAATACTTTCTTCTTCAGCATTGCTCCTCCCCCTGCTTTTATTTTCAAAAATTTTTGAATTTGGGTTTGAGGATGATCTATCTTTGGAATTCGTTCTCTTCTTAGAATTATTTCCTTTAATTTGGAACCTCCATTTCGACTCTTCCTGCTTGTATAATCAGTCACTTCATTCCTTAAAGATTGATTCTGTCTGTAAATCCAAGGATTGTAACGGTAAAATTTATCACTCTACAGGAAAGAGTCTATTTGCTGCTTTTCAGTTAATTGCA